CATAAAACCAATCTTCTTAAATATATTTATCGTAAGCATACACACAAGCACACACACACAAACACACATTACATTCGCAACGTCTGATATATATAACATGCATTCTCATATGTGCACTTAGGGTTTTACGGACAAGCCATTTAATAATCATTACAATTTTAACTATGAAACATGAATAAAAACAGACTTGAACGAATAAATAATCATATAATAACAATAAGACAACAGTTTTTAAAATAAAATATTTCTAAATCTGCAAAATAGCACTGACTACATTATTATGATTATTATCATAATATAGAAAACTCAAATCGATATTTCATATTTGTAAACAACTTATTCAATATGTTCTTTACAGAACAAATAAAAAAAAAAAAAACGATAAAACAAAAACTCAAGCCAGCTTACCGCACGAGGAACCTTAACAAATGATTATTATTACCGTCATTATCATAATTACGACTATACAATTTACGAGTAGAAACATTGTGTAACTCGATTATTATGTATTCCTGTTGCTATTATATTCACTAACAAACAAATATAGAATGCATTTCGGAACTTATTGTAGTCACACATTCTAATCTAAACGTTCCCTTCTGGTCGTAAAACCCGCCGCTATACGTGTGATAGAACACGACGTATTGCAGAAGTAGTTACGATAGTTAAGGTGGACGGATTTTGGCACTTCGGGCTCGAGTACAAATTATTATATTATATTTATTATAAAACATCGTGTTAAGCACAACACGACGAGAACGAAATGATTTATATATTTATCAAAACACAGCCAAATCATAGAAATCAACCGAAACGAGCGAGAACATGGAGATCAAATCATACCAAAAACTCGTCAATTCGAGTATGGTGAGACAGGTGCATACCGCCACGATATGATGACGAAGACGACAGAAACGCCTTATTACAAAAATGTCCACACACGCACGCACACACACATACACACACACACGCATGCTATATAATTTAATAATACAATTATATTATGAAATAAAATATTTTTAATTGGTAACATTCGGAAAAACTATCAATCAAATCAAATCAAAACGACAATATTATATATATTACCGTACATTCGTAATACAAATAAACCGTGTTTATTAGGTACTAATAAATTATTATTAATTTAATAACGTCAGCTAGATAATTGAAAAACATCATGATTAAATTACATTTTTTGTATTTAAATTATTATTCTCAGTCAATCGTTTAATAATTAAATTTTGGGTTATGAAGATTTGAAAAGAAATGGAAAAAGTGTCGTGATCATATTAATATAATAATCATTATTATTAAATAATATAATAGAACCACTTAAGTTATAATAAAAGTAGCAGTAGTAGAAGAGTATTAACATCAATAGTAATATAGACTATAACGTAGTCAAAATGTAGTAATTAATATTGTTTACGTATTATTCGTGTTAAGTTTAAAAAATAATAAAGCGTTGACAAAGTCAAAATGTTTTGAAAATTACATATACAAAACTGGAATGTACGTGTTGGTTGGAATTTGCGGGTATTCAAAAGAATAATTCAATATTAAAATTCAACGTCGGTCGGATGAAAAAATAAAATAAAATACGAGATGACTTCGAGCGAATATTTTAGGAATAAACGTTAAGATATTTCTGTAGAAATTAAAACGATAAAATCCAGAGAAATAAAATAGATCGTCAGAAGGCTTAATGGAAATATTTATCAGTCTGCAGTCACCTCATCGGTAGAACTCTTAACGTAAATAGCGATAAAAAAAAAAAAAAATTCATTACAAAATTAACATAAAATAATATTCATCATAAACAACAACATATCTAAAACATTTGCGATATTATATAATATATAAAAATACAATTTTACACAAAAAAAGATCCAAAAAGCGGGACACACATAATAATTTGTTTTTTATTATTTTCTTCATTGATTATTCCTTGTCGTCATAATTTGAAAATAACGAATTTTATTTATGCTATTTAGTTTTCTCTTCGATAACACGTTTGTACATATATAATATAACGTACCTAATAATAAAACACACACAGCAGTGTGAAACTATTTGTAACCGGGGCACAGTGGGAGGAATTGCACTTCTAGCTAGCCAAAAATTTAGCACCTATCAAATAAAGTTCGACACTCACAAATAAATATTTATTTTTTTATTGAATTAATATGCACAAACATTTTCTTACTTTAATTTTAATAACTTACTTCAATACTTATCTCGAGATAGATAACTGTTTAGAAAATACAGTTGAGGCTAGTAAACATTGAAATTATGAAGTTGGATAATATTACAAACAAAATAATTTTATTTTTTAACAATAAACATTTATGTAAGAAATTTAAAAAAAATGCATTATTTTCAAATATTTAATTTATCTGATACTTAATCGGATAACAAAAAAATTAATAAAAATAAAAAATTCAGAATAACTACTACTTTTCACTGTTACAAGTTTCTATTTTTTTCTGTTCTGAGCTTTCGATATCAAGTAAATTAATGGCTTTTAGAGGTAATTTAGTTTTTGATTTGTTAAGTTGTGTTCTTAAACTTGTAATTAATAGATCAGATGACACTAATAAGAAATTAAAAAGATATGTGTTTGTATAAATACGTTATGATTTTCGAGAATGATGTACTCTGAATCGATTATAGTTTTTATTACTTGCCTCTTGGGTATCTTCCCTTGCCTCTAAAGTGGAATTATTTCGCTTATAATAATATTTTCAGGTTATCATCTATCTTTAGCTAACTGAACTCTATCATACGAAGGATATATATCAGCCTCATGTTTTTTAGCACCTAATCTAGTTTTGTGATACGAATTTTTAGTCATGCGAGTATTAATGATAAATACTACATCCTTATCATCTGTGTAAGAACTATATTTATTTTTCGCTTCATTTTTATAAAATTTTCTAATCTTTATCACACGTTGAGGATAATACTTGGTTGCGTGAGAAACAAGATCGAATGCAGCACGTTTTTCTTCAACATACAATGTCAATTTTACTGCACAGATTCATTTATATGATGAAGTTATTTCTCTCGAGTTTTTTTATTTGTCTGCGCTTAGAACGATCACTTGACTTTAAAACAGATTAATGTAGCCTATCAGAACTTGTAAAAGGTTCATACGATTCTTTACATTTCTTTAATAAAAGAATTTTAAATTCTATATCCAACCACATCATTTTTTTTAAAAAAAAAATTTAGTCAAAAAGTGATTTGAGTCTAACTATTTCTTATTTAACTTACTACTAAATTCTTCAACTTTTTTTAATACATTAATCAAATTTCTCATTGCCTTCTAAACTCCCACTTTTCTCCCAGCCTATGAGTTTTGTAAGTACTCATTGCGTTTTGTGATTCATAAGTACTTGATGCAAAAACATTATTTTTCAAAACTTCGAATAAACAGCGATTTTTTACGTTGCTTATTTCATCTAGAAAAATATATTTATTTCAATAAGGGGCAAATTGGGGCAACTTATAAATGTCATATTTCAAAGTGTATATATATAAGCTTAAACTAAAAAAAAATTCACACCTCTAAGAGCCTCTAAAAAAAATGTCTACAAAATGAAAATTAAATAAATTTGAATTTCTTTAAATTCATGATATCTATGAATTTTTATTACGACATTTTAATTAATAAATAGTACTTAAAACAAATGTAACTTAATTATTTCTATTGGTTAATCTATTTTTGATTTAGCAAAAAACAATTAGATTTTTACAATTAGATGGACAAACTAAAATGAAAACTGCGTGAATAACAAGCGATTACCATATGATACGCTAAATTCAATAATCTTTCAGTACTTTTCCTACTCCTATCAGTTCATTAATTAACAATTATTACATAATGTGATATATTTACTATCGTCATATCAGTGGCAATAAATATTCCTGGTTGTAATCGTTAATCACCATACCTAAATTTTCTATTTTTGGCCAGCTAGAAATGCAATTCCTCCCACTGTGCGGGGTCGACATTGATTCCATAATTAATAAATTTAAAAAAAAAAAAAAAAACTTAAATCTAGATTAATATTTCTATACAATTTAATAATATATAATATAACATTATTTAATCCATAATAATAATAATATTTATCTACAATTCGGTTACAAAATTCAGAACCATTTCATTATAAACATACTGGGGAATACCACGTATGTTTCACTAAAGGAATGTATACATTTATAACTTTTTTAAAAGAATTATTATTTTTTCTAAAACCGAAAAGCATTTAATCAACACTTATTTCATACTTAATAGTCAATATAACACTTTATTGTTTACAATTTGTTTTATAAAAACCAATGCATTCTAATCTAAATTTATTCCACTAAACTTTAAAATAATTAATAGAACTAATGCAGTTAATATTTTAATAAGACTAAAATTTTGAATATTTAATTTTTAGAATTGAAAGCATTTTTTCCAAATCATCTAATTTGAAATATAAACTTATCCGAAGGCGAGTGTAAAACGATATAAATTTGTATCGATTGGTAGTTGCAGATGACGTCGTAGAATTGTGTACTTAAAATTTTATGGAAAAATTGAAAATTTGTTGAAGATAGTTATAATATACTATGTAACTGGTAAATAATTTGAATAATTTTGATTCTTGAATGTTTATAAAATTTTATTTATTTTTCTTATAAAAAACGAACTATTCAATACACGGGTGCTTACTTGAATATTACAATAATGACGCATATTATATTTTATTTTGAATCGAAGAAAATCCGGTGGTATTTTTCTATTATAAAATGGATGGATTTTGTAAATAAAATGTTATTTTAACAATTCAACTACCTAGTTGAACAAACAATCGTTTATCACAGTTACTTTGAGCCAATATTTTTATTTGATTTTCCGCAATCAAAAAAAGAAATAAAAATAGACTCTATATCTTTATATATATAAAAAAAAAAAAAAAACTTTTATTGTAATTTTATTTTAAGATAAATTAAACGAATTTATAGAGACAAACATAAAATCACTGGCATAAATTTGTTAGAAATACGAATTTAATCGTCACAGAAAGTTTCTATTGTATCCATTAATTCTAACATAGCGTAAATTAATGTTTTCTTTTTTTTTTTAAACAAACACAAAGGTTGAATTGTAAAGTATTTGTTGAAAATGGTTTAAAATATGGTACAATGATCGTTACGGTATAATATGTACGTGTTATTGTTGCATAAGCTACAAAGGATGACCTCATGGAACAGGGAGAGAACATAAACGGCTACCCACTGTTTTTTATTATTATTATCTTAGGATTACGCTTGTGTTCGGAGATGCGCACGGATTGTCGTTATTGCGGAATCACATTGTTTGCCATCACGTCCGGATTCGTTGGTGAAATGACACGTGAGTAGGCGTGGAAGAGCATTCACTTCGGTTTTCTCACGAGATTGTTCACCCTGTGAAACATGATCGGAAAGCACTTCTGAAGCCGTCGGCAGAAACATTTTGCTCGAAGCATTGGTAATATTTGTATTACTGTGTAAATGCGAAAAAGTTCAGGCTCTCGTCCCAGTCGTCGAAGTCCAACGGCCCGAAACACTCGTCCCAAAAATGCTCCATGGCATGCAGCAGATGTTTCATCGATCCATCGAAAGTGTGCCCTTCATCCGGATACGTCTGAAAATGGTTGGGGGAAAAATAAAAAACAAATGCTCATCATTATTGTTTTGTGCACGGGTGAAAGTGTTCGTTTTTCCTAGAGTTTGTCGGAAGTTTGTACCGCAAATTAACGTAATCATTTGCCATATTATGGCAAAAATATTTTAAATTATTTGCGAAATTGATCGGTGTTCGATGAGAATCTATACTGCGCACTTATTTTCCAACACTGTAAGGAAATACTGGGAAATATCTATTCATCGAGAACGCAATATTAATAACAAACGTTTGTTCATGAATATTAATTCGATTTATACATAGACGTAATAATAAATTATTAATTATTCAGTTTACTTTTTACCGTTAATATTTAAAATAATTGAATGATGCAATATTTCAATAGTATTTTTTTAGAGTTACTTTTTTTTTTTTCTAAATAATTTAAACATTTATTGAAATATTTTATGTTTCGTAGAATGAATAAACGTTTTAAATAATTTTATATATAATATTTTACGCACGAGAACAGCCAAATTATTACTGTTTTTGAAGGTTATGACCCTTTCCCCGGAATATGTAGTTAAACCCAATTAGTCTCATTATTCCTACTAGACACCATCCAAATTTAAATATTTTCAAATTTATAACCCTCCCCTTTCTCCTAAAACAAATTTTGGTTGCGTCATTGAAGGAATAAAAAAGTGATGTTTTTTGAAATTTCAGAAAAATGTAACACAGAAATTTCCCAAATTATAAATCAGTCGTATTTTTATATATTATTTTAATTCCTTCACTTACAGTTATTTTTGTTATTTTATTTCAAAGCTATTATTTTCGGAACAATGACGGACCTTGTAGTTTCACACGATAAAGTTAATAAGTTTAATTCAGCAAACACGATAAACTTAATGATAGTAATATAATCAGATTTGGGTAGTATTCTGAATATAATATTCGGAATACTTTTTAAATACTTTTTTTGAAAGTATTCAATAAAGTATTTGAATACTTATAACGAGTATTCTGATTACTGTATTTTGAATACCGTCAAATCATCTCTTTTTTAAATGATTTTATTACTTCTCCGTCGTATCTTGTATAAGCTAATATCAGGTATTCATTATTATTGTAAACCATAAACTATAACAGTTATGTAATATAAAAATACAATAAAATAACATATTTTTAGTCTACATTTTCAAATATTTCTGTTGAGTGGACATATATTATTTTTATAGTATAAAAACTAGAAGTATTTTAAAAGTATTCGGAATACTATTTTTTGTAAGTATTCAAGTATTTATTCTAAATACTTTTAAAAAGTATTTTACCCAAGTTTTAATATAATAAAATCGAAGATAACGAAGTTTTTTTGTAAAGCGGGCAGTAATAAATAATTTAACAATAATAATTAAAGCAACTAATAAGGTTAGAGTATTTATGGGTTGATGTTATTATATTTCTTTTCCGATAGTATATTTTTGTCTTCATTTGTATACTGACATTTCAAACGTATTACGATTCCAATCAACATAGCGTATATTGAATCTTTGAAGATTTCAATTGTACCGACTACTCTACTTATTTTTCAATCGCTATTTTTATAACTGTTTCGTTATGTTTTGATTGTAACACGCGCCATTCATTGTTTCCTCTTATGTGTTTGTGAATTTTCGTCAGCACACAAAGACGTGACAATATCCGAAAAAGAAAATATTCTATTTGTAATAATTTGTATTATTTTTTTGTTCGATAATAATTTATAAGGATATGTTCTGCAATTAAAAATACAAAAACAATAAGCTTTCGTTATTGTTAGCTATTGGTTTACTCTGCAACTCGTTTGCGCACGTTCAAAATTTTTTACCTGAAAATCGACGACTCGTTTGCACACAACGAAATCAGTCGTTTACTTGAAAATAGATAACTCGTTTGTGCACAACGACATATTCACACATATGACACGTGTATACATATATCGTCACAGAATGCAGTACAAATTATCAAATATATTATCTTATAATCGACTGTGTAGACTATAGATTATATAAATTTGAATTTTCCAAACAATTTTTAGTAAAGTTTCGGTAAGTATAGACTAAGGATATGAACGGTGCAATGGTAACTAGTGTGTTAACAACGTAAAATTTAATATGGCGTAGAAATCTCTAATATTTTTGAATATCGGTTAGAAAAACGATGTTTTAATATTGATAATTATAAATTCAGTAAATACCGTGTTTTAATGACTGGATGTTCAGATTTTAGATGCACTAATAAAAAATGTCCTGTGAGTATTATTGTTAATAAATCGAACAAAATAATAAAATTAACCAACTTTCATAATCATGAGGAGTATAAAAATCAAAGGTAATAAGCAAACGAGTACTGACACTATGGAATGTCGTCATAGGCAGCCAAAATATATGTGCGCAATCGAGTAGTGCATTTTTGCGAAAAAGTTGTAACAAGAGTTGTAAAAAAGGTAAATGTGTGCAAACGAGTTGTAGCCATTAGTTAATGTATATGTAGAAAATTATAGCTGTGTTCCTTTTGTTTTCATTACCATTAAATCATACGATTGTTGAGCAATATAATTTTACGGTGCTTGTGTTTTAAGTTTGTAATACATTTTTTATTTATTTCTTTTATTTACCACGGAAATTATTTCAAATTATAAAATATTTTGATTTAGTTCAAGATTTATTAGCCGGCTATATTTAACTTGTAATATGCGCTTGTGTGATGGATAATTAAAATTATACTACGCACTTGGTGTCTGAATAGTATCCCTTTTTCCGTTAATGCTCTTATCAACATCATACTGTGCTGATAATGGACCGTTTCGTCGGCACTGCCGTGAATTAACATTAATAATTTTTTGTCTAAAGTCGTAGCCTTTTTACTCAAATCCGAGTCTTCGTATCCCCGGTAGTTGTCCGTGACATTTGGGGTGCCCATTAGTTTTTCAGTCCACGCCGAGTCTAAAATACAATTATGATAATTAATATACGTTGTAACGAGAGATGAAGATTATTTAAATGTATGGGTTTAATGTGCGAGTATCAGTACATAATCATCAGATCAGCTGAAGCAATTAAAACATCAACGAAGTAATTTTTTTTGTTTTTAACATTGCGCATATGGCTTTATGTATTTTCTTGTATTTATCAATTTTAATTGATCTATTAAAGGAAATGTCACCAGAGAGTTTATACGCGTGTGCCAGTGAATGTCACACGATCGTACGTTAGTATTTACCGAAATGCGCCCAGTTTGTAACGGGTGACGTGGCTATACCGCATCGAAATACCTCCGGTTGGTTGGCCAGTATCATTCCAGTAGCGTATCCTCCATATCCCTTGCCCCAGATTCCTATGCGGTCCTTGTCTATGAACTTCAGCATGTCCTTGAGATACCTGTCCCCAGACGTACACGCATGATGGTTAACGCAAACACAAACAATAGTGCAAAATCGATTTCGATAATTACAACAAAACTGAGATCTGGTCCTGGATGTCCGTGATTCCCAGATTGTAATATATGGACGTTCTGGACCTGTCACCCTGACCGAGTGTGCCACGGCCATCTATGATGGCGATTATGATATTCTTGTTACTGCATAAGTACGTGGCCCAATCTACCGACCACTCTTCTGTTACTGATTGAGTGCCGGGTTTTCCTTTTCTAAACAACAGAAATGCAAAAATTTAATAAATTCTACGGGAAGTGTTAGGAGACACTATGTTAAAAAGAAGAGCTCTAATCAATGTTAAGGTGGCTTAGCAACTTCATTTATTTCATTTTTTTTTTTATGTAATCTATTGTGTTTCTTAATATGTTTCTTATTTTTTATTATTTATTACCCAACTATTGACAAGTTACCAGATTTTAGTATTTATTTATGTAGATATTTTGGTTACGTAAATACATATAGTCAGAACTCCAACAAATAACAATAAATTGTTGAAAAATGTCCTATACACATTCAATTGGAAATAAGTTATGTTTTTTTTTTTTTTTTTTTTTTTATAGAGAATAAAAACAAAAATGATTCAACAGCCGATAAATTATAACATTGTAAAGATAAAACCAAAGTCAATGATCTTTTTTGGCCTTTTTTCTAACTTATGAGAAATAAAACCCGCAATTAAGTTTAAAGCTATAAAAATTGAAAGAAGTGACTGAAATAGTTGATGACCCCACGTTGTGACGAGGAAAGAATATTCTTTTATTGTTAGTGAACACCCACCTTCTATTTTTCTTTTGACAATTCCAGCAGTAATCTTAAAAATAATCAAAAAATGAAAACATAAAAATAATAAAATTAATATTTAAGAACCAAAATTTCACGAGTAAAAAAAAAAAAAGTATATATAAATATATATATGTATATAGGGAAAATAATGTTGATAATGTTGATTAATTATTTGCAACAGAACGAAAATTTTAAATATTTACTAATTTAATTTTCTGACGGACGAATCAATTTTTGTCACGACAAAATCTAGTTAACAACCAGACCCAAGACAATCAGTCATAAAATACAACTGAGAAAAAAAAACGATTAAGGACCTTACATGTATAAAATAAACGGAAATGCTGTTTCGTCATATTCTTTAAATGCTGGAGGCAGCATGAGCTTCGTTTGAGCGATAAATCCATTCTCAATCTCAACCTGCAATTATTATTATTTTTTTTTAACAAAATAATTTTTCTATCCTTTATAATTGTTTTTAAATCTTACCTGCATAATTTGTACGTTTGGCTTAGCCATAGAAGAATATCTATTCGCTAATGCTGTATAATTGTTTAATATCATTATTTTTTGATCCGTTTGCCAGTTCATTAAGATAACTTTAGGCACTAGAGGGCCTGTGAAAATGACAAGTTATAATATTATTGCATGCCGTCATCAATAGCACTCAGTTTGTTCTGGCTTTTATACAAATGGAATAGTTTAATCAGCTATAATTTTATCCTTAATACTTTAGTATAGAAAATGACAAAGCTAAAAGAAGTTTTAACAAATTAATTAACAGATATTGTCCAGTGATTAATGATTTTTATTTATAATTTTAAGGACTTGAAAAACACCCGAATTCGATAGTAATTTTAAAATCTATTTTCATTTATGTCATGAAAGATAAGTGAAATATGTTATGTTTATGGTAGTTCGTATTTTATTGTGTTGTTGTACACAATGCATGAAAACAAATATAAATCTTCGGACGTCGCTTCAAAAGAAGCTTATTATTAGTATTATTATTAGGTACTATTATTTATTTTGTATTATTACTATCATAGTTGTTTATTTTATTTATAATTTTTTGAAATTCAAAATACGTTTTAAAATTGTATATACATTTGTACATTGTAAATTAAAAATATTCATAAACCTAAACCACCCCTACATTAAACGAAAAATATATTACGAGTACACAAATTAATGAAATTTATCGGCATATTACCAAAATACAACTACCGTTCTTAGTGTAACGACGAAAACGTTCCTAATATGCATATATATTAAAAATATAATATTTCTATTTTAAAGACGGATGTTGAATTTTGTTTCGTTTGTAATTAAATGTTGTGGAATTTTAACGACGAGAAGCAATACGTTAAAAAATATTGATCGTAAATTTTATCATTATAAGAGTATAAAATAATATATTCAGTGCATAATAATATAATATCCCATTTATATACAACTGACGATTCTGTGTACAGCTAAAATTACCTTACCCATAAATTTAAAATGTGGAGATAATGAGAACGTACAGATATACCAAGAAGAATTTTTGAAATTGTATTTTAAAGAATTAAAATACTTTTGGGTTCTGAACTGTATTAACAACTTTTTCAATTTTTTGTTACCACGGAAATATTTTATTTTATTTAACATGTTAATTTTAAAAATTGTCGATTGAGTATACGTATGTGAATTAATACGGTATAAATGAATAAAAATAAATTTTATTAACTTTTTTTATTTATTTATTATTTTTCGCAGGAATAATAATTACTCTAATTTGAAATAGTAAAATATGTAATTTTCTCAGTGAGACTGAATGATTCAAGTAGTGATATTATACTTATAATATTTCTTATTGAATCGTAATTAAATCGACAGTAGCTTGTTTGAACACGACATAATATTAATTGACGTTAAATTCACGAAAAACACGCAATTAATCAGAAAAGGTTCATTTTTACAAAATACCGGAGTGGATTGAACTAGTGCACGCCATATTTTTTACATTTCAGCGTTTCGTACGATCAATAATAGCCCAATTGCGATGTTATCGATATACCTCAGTGGACGAGCGTATAATAAATTTTATTGAAACGGAATTATTTTAAATCGAAGTTAGAAATACGTGCCCATTACTTTTAATGTACTTGAACTTTCACCAAGCGTTTATCATAATAATAAGCAATTTTTTTTCGTTTATCGATCGCATGGAACAAACAACAATTATTATTAGTCTTTTACGTCCAGATTTGCACAGATTGATTTTAACAACAGTTCTGTGTAATTATAAAATACAAAATAAATAAACACAATGTAGGTAAGCTGTTTATATTTTATTTACGTTTTTTATTTTTGTTAGTTTTTTTCGTGTGTACTTACCTAAACATTCCAAAACGTAATATTTGGAATTCTGATACGGACAAAAATGAGATCGGACATATAGACAAGAGTTGGTACGTACTGGCCAGGAGTCCTGTGGTAGTTTCGATGATTCTAATCCTTTAAGACTTAATCGGAACGAGTCACTGTGAAAATATAAATATTTACGCACCATCTAGCGAATAATGCATGAACTACCAATGACATTAAATAAACCAAGAAGAAAAACAACGCGAAGTTTCTTCGTCATGTTCGATTAACTTTCGAGGTGTTTACGATATATGTTATTTATAACGAGATTTTTAAATGAAAATAATATAATCAAAAAAAATATTAAATTTTGAGTTTCAATCAGAAAATGTGACGATTTTATCTCTCGAGTCATAATAATTATCGTACAAAAATATTACAAAATAACTTGTGTTCTACCTGATGTCCGAACTAGTAGAAATGTTGATTTTTGTTGTATTCTTTTGTGGTCCATTCGGTGGACATGTCAGGCACTCCCAGCCCGATGTACTGTTCACGTTATCAGGAACTTTGTATAGATGCCGCTGCGATGGTTTACCTTCTGGTATTGCTTCAAAATATCTGCAAATTAATCACAGTGAACAATTTATAATAATAATCGGAAATGAGACTGCAATCAAATTAGTTAATTAAAATACAAACCCACGCATACTTACAAATATATGGGCATTTTATTTATTTCAGACGGAACTATTGATTTTCTGAATCAACTCTATCAAGAAAGATAAAATGGATATAATCGAATCACATGAAAATTAAGTCCCGGTAAGATGATCAAATTAAATCTTTTGATATACGGAAAAACAAATAAACATTTATTTACATATTGTTTTTACCGTAGCGTTTAAAACCGGCAATATAAAAAAATCGTTCATTGGTGTTACATGTGAGCACGTCATAAAAATGCTAGTGACAATCGATCTAAAATGAACAAGCTGTCATTACAAAAGCGACGTACGATGTATGGAACGTTATATAATTTTATCATATAACATCGCAATATCATCCGAGATTTCAGACGTCCGTATTATTATGATAGCCTCACAAATTGTGTGTCTTTCCCTAAAGTAGTTATCCGCTCGGCGCAGTGTATGGTTAAAATATATAGGGACGCTTAGTTATCTACGTGCAATATGCAAAAATTAGTAACCCAACATTACTAAAATATAATTGATTTTTTTTTTTACAAATTAAATTTTTCGTTTTAAAAAACTTAATAATAAATATTAATGGTAGTCATGTTATCTAAGTAATGCACTTCGCTATAATGTGATTATGCATTGAAATAATGCAATGTGCGTATAGTAATTACACAGTGGATATCATTGTTTCAATTCATTAAAACTACCTATTGATATTATTATTGTAATCATCATATTATACAAGGATTTGATTTTATATTTATAATTACATTTTTAGTATAAATTTCAAATAATATAATAGCAATTTTTCTCGCAAAGTTTAAAATAATCTACACATTATATAGTTTTTTTTTTTTTATGGTATAAATATATTAGCTAGGCCTATTCAGGAAAAGGCAATTTTATGGAACAAATATTATGCTAAAAAGACATCTAGGTGAATAGATATTTTATTTAACGTTTGTTTTGGTTGAATAAGTTGAATAATTTAATATGAATATTGTACCGGTCAAATTAAAGAAGTAAAAAAATAATATTTTGAAATAAATTTCAACAATTTTCATATTCCATAATGTTAAGTCTATTTCATTATAATAATGAATTAAAAATCCAAGACAAAGAAAAATAGGCAAAAAATTGGAAATTTATACAGATAAGATTGGTACGTATAAAAATAAAATGATTTTTCGTTACAATGAATATCGGCTAATACACGTCCAAATAGAAGAATTGATAACATAGCCAAAATAGAAATCAATATCCTAATAGATTAAAGAGAAGACGTAAAATTATTCAAATGAGGGTATAATCGATGACTAATATAATAAAAAAAGAATCTATTTGTAGACGTTTTCTATTATTTAAGGGCATTCAATTAATTTTGACAGTCAACGATCATATCATCTTCTCACGTATATTTCCCTCATGATAGCGGCATATAGTGAACCATGCAAAGGGTCAACTACGGATTTTATTGTCATGCGGACCCGTAAATATGATATCATAGGTACAACTTTACTTACATTAGCTGGTTCGTCTTGTCCCACTGGACGATGCGAACGACGGAAAAACTTCCGCTTGTCAACGGGATCATGATCTTTGTGGAAATATCGACCAGGCAGATGTGCGGATATGTACCATGCGGACCGTCCAACACAGGCAGGATCGCTAAGTAGCTAGTGCCCTCGTCGTTGAATGCGATCTCGGTGTTCTCCAACCATCCCTGACCATCGGCGATTTTCTCCACAAAGGACTACGAACAAACGCAACCATGAATACCGAAACGAAATTTATGTTTACATTTATTTATTCTAATTATGAAGCGTTAAAATAAAACTAAAATTAGTAAATTAATATATTATATTATAATAGTATACGTATTGTAATAAATAAATAAATAAATGTATAGCCTAGAGTATTATTGTATTTGTAATATAAAACTAGTTTCAAATCAAAAATTCATCATTAGTTATATAAAAATTTGATTTGAGTCATTAACTTTGTACGTACCTGACGATGAATTTTTAATCCAAAACGGGTCCTAAATTACAAATATAATAATGCTTCAGGCTAAGAATTTATTTATTTCTATGAATAAATTTTTTTAATGTCAAAAAATTTAAGTTGCATTCAATTATCATTTTATTGAAATCCTTTTTTTCTATAAACTAAGCCTTGTCATAGTTTATCGAAGTACATATTATTACCTTTATTTCTTAATTATTATAACACACTATCTATATAATTTTATCGTACCAATAATAGGTTCTTATTTTATTTCATTATAATGGTAAAGAAATTTTTATTTTTTTTTCTCACAATCATAAAAGCAATAATAAAAAAATTAAAAAGTGGCATGAAAAATTCTCTGTACATTTGTATGACGTTTGTGGTAAAAAACTACTCCTAATTAGTATAATTTTTAATAATTTAACCATAACATTTCGTCTAAGTTTTATTAAATTTAAAACATTGGTTTTATGTCTAGTAAAATTTTTATATGTGGAAAAGGCTTTCAGGAAGCCCTCTAATCAAAATAGTTTATGCGCTCAATCAAATATTAACTACTTATACAACATATAAATGTTTCATAAATGAAATGTATGCTATGCGATTTAACCATTTTGCTGACTAACAGACCGTATTATTTTATATAACCATTATAAAAAAGAAACTTAGTTGTTATTTCTCTGAGATTTCTTTATAAGTTTCATGTACTATTATAATTATTTAATTATTAAAATAGGATTCATGAATTTAGCAATATTAAAAATTAAAGTTTTAAAAATGTTATGTCAAATATATATATAAATAAATAAATATATTCAACAATAATTTTATGTGTATCTTCCGATGGAATAAGAAAAAACAAATTTAACTAAATATTGATCCTATAAAATTATAATTGAGTGATTGAAAATAGCAATATTATAATTTCTTATTATAAATTGTAAGTTTGTAAGTAATATTATTCACGCTATATTATATTACTATTTATCAAATTATTATCGAAATATTCTCTTTATGAATGAAATATTTTTTTATTATTATTTGGTTTTATAATGTAATATTTTCACGACACATTCAAACATATAATTACAAGGATTTAAAAAATAAAAAAACGTACTATACCAACAAAAAAAAAAAAAAGTATAAATCAATGTTAAAAGATTAGACGTTCTATTTTGATATCGTCTAAAAAAAAAAAAAAATGATCTTACAGCTCGGTAGTTTATACCGTTTACGTAGCGATATACTCGTATTTGTTTTGTTTCGACTTACGTCTTGGCAATCCCATTTTGGTTCAGAGCACACAGAAATGACCATTACCGTTTGTTTTCTATTCATCCAAACGATTCCGATTTTTTTGTCATTTGCCCACTTAATGTGCATCAAATAGGGTTCTCTATAAAATCATAATAACAAAAAAATATTAGTCAGTTACCAGATCATAACGATTCAATTATAATCGGTCTTACTTTTCCAATTGTAAAGCTAGTGGTTTGCTTAGCATGGTAACATTTGATATACTGTCGTTTTTCAAATCTTTTATCCACACTGTCACAATTGGATTTGGTGTCCCTGCCTAGAATCAGTAATTATTCAAAGATTTTATTGCGTGAAAAATGAAAAACATAAAAAATTAATATTTTTGAATGAAAACCATATTATGCTTAATCATTTAAACTTTTAAGTTTGAAAAACGTTACATAATAAATATTTTATTAACATGATTACTGAATTATAAATTGTTTAGTTTAAATTATACATACAAATGTCACTGATTCTTTCTGAATTTTATCTATTTTTTATTTAACTATCAAACAAAATAAACATTTAAAAATTATAAATAAATAGTTGTTCTTGTTCTGTTCAACTATTTCATAATTATAATTAATTATAAAAAAGAGCATGGTCAAAATGTAATGGGATATCTTATGGTTATTTATATATAAAAAAATAATAATTTATTGATATTAATGATATATATATATATATATATATATATAGATCAATGGTATAAAAATTAATATTATATGTAGTGTATATTATACCAATCGGACCAAAACGATCAGAGAACTTATTAGACAATCTACATAGAAATAAATAAACAAACAAATACAATTATTTTAAAATTTAAAGAATTTATGTAATGCCTATTATAATATATACATATGAAGTCCGAATGGGTGCCCGGGAATTGGGTTACAATTAATCTTTTTTCAAAAAGGTTTACGCTAATTGGACCCCTACAGTTTTACATTTATAACAGGTAGACCCAATGATTGAGCCACTATTTTCAACTATTTTTTATTATTGTATCAGATAATTAGGCCACTAATAAATTAATATGTCATATATATAATAAATATTGCTACAATATGAATGGGACAGCAGAAATCGCATGAAACATTGGTCGGTGAAGTATTGGCCAAAAATACAGAACTTAGAACTGGGAACTAAAAATATAATATGTCATAATTTAATTGAACCACAAAAAGTTTTATTATTATACCTCCTTTGTACATAAAGTTAGGAATAATGAAGCAATTTGTAAAGGCCCTTGATAAAAATGGACATTGTTTCCAATATCTGTGTCATACATTTCCTGTATTATCTGGAAAAAAGCTCAAAGAAGGTATATTCAACGGGCAACAAATCAGAATACTAATGAAAGATACAGATTTTCAAAATAGTATAACCACCGTAGAAAAAAAATGCATGGTCTAGTTTTAAAAGCGTGGTGTCGAAATTTTTAGGTAATACGAAAAATCCAGATTATAAATCGATCGTAGCCGATTTATTGAAAAATTTACAAGTATTGGGCTGTAATATGAATATAAAATTGCATTTTTTAAATTCGCAAATTGACTGTTTTCCGGAAAATTTGGGTTCATTAAGTGAAGAACAAGGTGAACGTTTTCATCAAGACATCACAGAGATAGAAAGACGGTATCAAGGTAGAAAGGATGTTAGTATGATAGCCGATTACTGCTGGTTAGGTTAGGTTAGGTTAGGTTAGGTTAGGTTAGTTAGGTTTAAAACATGAAACTGAAAAACAAAGCTGCAAAAGAAAATCAAATAAATTTAGTTTTTACGATCCTGCAAAAAAAAAAGAACTAAAAACAAGTTACTTTAATATATTTTTTTTAATACTTTATAAGTAAGAATTAAAATAAACAATTTTTTTTTTAAATAAATTTACTTAGTAATTATTTTAATTTTATTTTAGTTAAATTTATAGCAATTAAAATATTTCAAATAAAATAATAACGTATATTATATATATGTAAATGTTATACTATCTTATATATCTCAATTGTAAAAAAACCTAGACGTGACAGAGACAAAATAATTTCAGATTTGAATTTTGCGCATGAAGATCTATAAGGACCAGGTATTATTATACAAACAACAAAAAAAAAAAATTTTCGCTAGACTGTGATATTTGGATTTGAATTACCGTGAAAATCGACTGTAATGAATTGACATATTTATAAAATTACCTTAGGGTATCGTATCGACTGATAATATGGATACTGATATCTAGTGTTGTAAATTGGATATTTGTATTCTCCAACTAATGAATCGTTAAACGTCACATAAGCTAAGTATCGTCCAGATGGTGAAAACCAAAATGCTTCGTCCGATTTGAATATTTCCTCTGAAAATCAATTTTAAAAAAAAAATCAATGACATTTTCATGATTCTAAATGTAATAGCAAAATAAATATTTTCTACTTTTATGTTTTGTAGAATACCAATGAAAAAAATAAAGTGTTTATATATAAAGTTGCGTAAAAGTTCTCAAGGAAAACCAAATTGGGTTTTTTTTTTTTTTTTTTAATAGATATTGAACAAAAAACATTTATTTGAAATGCAAAATAGTACAATATTTGTTCAACCTTTTCGTATCTATACTCGTATGTAACAAACTCGAGTGTACCGAAGAACGATTTAAATATTTGTTGAAAAAATATTATTGGAAAATGGTGTTTTAAATTTCAAAATATCTTAAAATAAATTATAACTTGAATTTAAATAACATTTTTGATTATATTTTGCCATTTTAATCTTTTTTTATTTCATAATGTTTAACTGTACTTTTTTATTGATATTTATTTTAGCTAACTTCATTCGTGTATGTCATTTATTGGAATTATATTATACGGAACAACATAAATAATTTGTGATAAATATGTATACACCTAAGTGTGATATGGATTTTATAAAGAAGTATTTTCAGAAATAAAAATTATGCTGTGTATACGTTTTTTTTTTTTTTATTTAGTAAGTAATCTACAATCTATACATATGTTTGTACATTAAATAGGTTTTTGAAATAGGTATATATATAAAATAACATGTATGACAGATAAGGGAAGGCACCCATTGGTGACACCCAGCATGTGTTTTACTTTACTATTTAGTTATTATTGTAATGTAGTGTAATGAAATGAATGAGTATGAATGTTAAGATGAAGTTAAATTTAGAGATCTTTGCACCATTTTCTTTTTAGCCTACGAATTGGGTTGTTAGGTTGTTTATTTGAAGACAATTTGGATATGAGAGGGTTCTTATTTGACTGGATTTTATTATGATATTTATTATAGAAGTTTTTTGCGATTTTGTTAAGGGGTTCCATTCTGAAATCCTTGTTTAAGTTTTTATTAGTGACGTACCAGGGAGATGAAGAGATAAGTCGAAGACATATTGATTGAAAGGATTGCAGAGTTGCTAAGTTTGATGGTTTTGCGGCTCCCCATAGTTGGATACCACAATTCCATAGTGGTTTAAGTAACAATTTATAAATAAATGTTTTGCTTTTGATGTTCATTTTGGAACGTAATAGAGGTTTGAAAAGATGAAGACGGGAGTTTAGAGCTTTGCGTTTGTTTTTGATATGTGAGGCCCAAGTCAGTCTCCTATCTAGGATCAGGCCAAGATATTTGGTTTCGGTGTAGACGGGAATGGGGATATTATTAAAAGTGACTGGTGGGCATGTTTCTCTTTTTAGGGTGAAAGTGATGTATGAGGATTTGGACTTGTTTATTTTTATTTTCCATCTCTTAGTCCATAAGTGAATTATGTTCAGGTGTTGTCGAATCATACTAGAAACTATAGTTGAATTTTCGTTAGACGCTGTGATAGCTGTATCATCTGCGTAAGTTACGAGTTCAGTGTAAGAGGTTTTTGGGATATTGTGAGTAAAGACACTGTATAAAAAAGGAGCAATGTCGCTGCCTCGAGGAACGTCGGCTTTATTATTAAAATATTTTGAGCGATTAGAGTTTTGCCGAACTACGAATGTGCGGTCGCTCAAGTAAGACTTTATGAGAAGAAAATAGGGCGCAGGAAGAAATTTTTTTAGTTTGTACAGAAGTCTGTCGAACCAGACTCGATCAAACGCTTGTGCTATATCTAAGAAAACAGCTGCACAAAAGTGTTTCTTTTCTAGAGTCGTTGCTATTGTATCTATTATACGATGAAGCTGATGAATGGTTGAGTAATCTTGCTTGAAACCGAATTGTGTATTTGGGATTATTTTTGCTTCGAAAGCTAAACGAAGAAGTCTTTTTAATAGAATTTTTCGAATATTTTAGATAATGATGGTAATAGGTTTATGGAGTGGTATGATGTAATTTTATCGAGGGATTTGTTCGGTTTAGGAATTAGTATGATTTCGGCAAATTTCCAAGTCGGTGGGTAGTAGGATAGGCGTAGCATTGCATTATAGATATTAGACAAGAGTAAAATTACAATTAAAAAGAAGATTAAGTAAGGTCAAATTAAGATTAGGTCAAATTAAAAAGAAGAAGCCAAAAACATAATCATATTTTCAAGTAATAAGACATCACGGTTTCGTTTACTAGGTTGGAATAGAGTGATCAGAAAGTTGTATGTTGAATAATAATTTACTTTTTCTGAAATACATTATCGAAACGAAAATACGGTTTTGACTGTCGGTAGTATAATGTATATAACGATTATACGTAAATTACATTACTTATTAGTTTATCTACATATGCATACAACAATCATAGTCAAAAACGTTTCGAACAAACGGACTGTGGTGATTATCTCTTTTATTCTTTTGTAAGGAGTTCGATAACGAAAATATTTGAATCAAAAAAAATATATTAGCTTACAAATGTTCAAAGTGAATCACGGTGTTCGTGAAAAGTCGAATTTAACTTCGAGCACTGATAATTTAGAAATATTATGCAGATTTACCATCGTTTTATTGAAATAAGTTGTGGTCGCGTGGATGCAGCCACTAGACGACGCTGCAATCGTTGGCGATCTGTCCAACGAGCACTCAAATGGAAAGGAATGTCAGATTTGTTTGCAAACGATCCCAGCGACGTCTAGCTGCTGCGCCCGCATAGGCGGTACAGTTTTTAATTTTAATTTTAAACGCGCGTACATCGTCGTGATGTCAAAATGATATCCCATCGGACACCACGCTTACCCTGGTACAGCCAGTCCGGTACGCCGTTGAACACGGTGGCCGAACCCGTGTCAGTGATCCTGAAAATCCTGCTGTGACGATTGCCGTGGATCTTGTAGTACAAATCGTTGCCGTGCACGAACACCAGTCCGCTGCCCGTCGGTGTCCACCGTGCCCTTTGGATGTACGTGTGCTCGGCATCATCCACCGTCTTTGAGACAGTCGTTAGCGGCACTCCGTTCCTGGGGGAACAATAACGGTCACATTAGAACTCGACTCGGCCGAACCTGTACGTGTATACTTACTGGGTTGCTACTTCGAACACGTGGTACCTGGCTTCTCGCGTGTTCGTGTAAATCTGAGGAAGAAAGGAAAAAATAAAATTTTTTTTAAAAAATCACTTGTATCCAGAATATTCAAATATCCATGCATTGTCACAAGACGATCTACAGATCTTTTCCGGATGGGAACGGGCTGTTCTCGACTTTCATTCACGAGCGCTCCCCTAAGCGGCTGTTCTCGACTTTCATCCACGAGCGCCCCCCCTAAGCGAATGAACTGAGTTTTTGTGGGCCTTTCAACCGAACGCACCCGGTCGAAGTTTGATTTATTCTAAGCCGATCATACTTTTGAACGTACTAAGAGATACAGTGAGTACGCGTAGGAACTTGGACTTGGCTCGATAATCATTATCGCCTGATGTATAGCGTTGATTATTATACTTTTGTTCGATGGCAGCTCATATGGACCATATACGTTTGAGTACAAATAATTTGTAACATACCTATGCAATCGGGTAAAATATATAGGTACAAACTCATTACGTATGAAACATGAACAAGAAATCTTGTTTTCATGCGATCGACGAATAAAAACGATCAAAACTAGTCCGGTACACACATAGATTGCACTTTAAACGACCAAGTATTATTAACCGACGTGTCCATATATGTAGTTAGTTTTTGCAAGACTGTCCAGAGCACAACAAATGTAAGCTCCGCTTATAAACACTTCTTGACATGAAAAGCTGCAGAACCTTTTATTTAAAAATACATTTTTCTGTTAATTACAGAATATGCGCATAATAACCAATCTAAATTTGCTATAGAAACCTAATAATTTTTTATATAATTTTCTTGGGTGGTTCCCGTGGCCCTGTGCACCATGGGATGAGCCGCCTCTAATGTCGCCAGATATGATATTATTCGTAATAATATTTTATTTATAATATCAATGAAAAAATAACCATATGGCCGATTGTACGTGAATAAGTAAAATATTTATTATTTATATGTATTATACTCAACCATTGTGAATAACCTATAGTATACTTGGGAAATAAAAAAGACAGGATTTTTTTTTTTTTTTTAATTGCTTGGTAACTTAAAGAAAAAACCGTAATCATCGTGCGTACAGTTCAAGCTAGTTGAAGTTTTACTGTGTTAAAAATATAATAAAACTTCGTATGCTGATTATTTTCTACCAACTGAAAAATTTTATATTATTAGTAAATTACATTGTACATTGTATATAATTCAACAATCCAAAATTCAGCGATTTCAACAACAGTAGGTATAAGGTATATATATTTTTATAATCCATTCTTGCCCTGCCTAATAGATGTATGCTTTAGAAGAATTACAAATAAATTACATTCCTTATTATTTAAATTGGATTATAGATTAATGTCTATCGTGAGAAATCATCATATTTGAATTACCTACCAATAGAAAAATAATATTTATATAACATATTATATATGATATTTATATTTATAAATTAGACTTTAAAAATGTTAATGTTCAATATTTATGTATTCTATACTTATTTTAAAAAGTGAAACATTACTTATTCTATTTAAAAAGTAAAATAAAAGAAGGCTAATAGTTAAGGTTAAAACCAGTTTAAACCGAAACCAATAATTTTTATTAACAAGAATCGAAACTGATACCGAAACAGAAATTTTTTTCCCTGGCCAGAACCGAAACAAATTAAATTGTATTAGTTCCAATCGCTGGTCTGTGTATACAATTTCAAGTACAATTATAACTTCGATCACCACCATAATATTTTATAATTCATTATTATCATAACGAAAAATTATAAAATAACGGCATATCGATTTTAAAGAAAATCAGAACAATGTTTTTATTGTAACTCAAAAAATAACAAATGAAGATTCTTGAAATTTTTTTTCGAGGCTTTTATATCATCATTCGCTATTGTTGGTATAGTTTTCAAAATAATTGATGAGTTATTTTTTTATATATTGAAAACTACTTATGTTTTCTTGTTTTTTATTTGAATATGACGATAAAATAATTTTAAATAAACCTAAATATTTAAAAATATAAAACCAATTTTCTCATACATTTATTGATTAATAAAAAAGTTGAATTTAATCAAAAAAAAAAAATAAATAAATAAATAAAAAATGTCCAAATATTTGAATATTAAACCATGCTAAAACTATAAAAATAAAGAAAACCCTTTTGATTTTAATGATTTAAATTCATTAAACTATCAATTTTATATATAAACTTTAAAATTGGAAACAAGGTTTTCAAAAGATTTTCTCTGAAGAAAAAAAAAGATAAAAATGATTTATAATCGCGAAATGTGCAATAAGAGTTATAAAATAAAATTTTAAAGAAATTGAATATATCAATTTCCATTAAATTATTTTCATTATTCAATCGGATATATTTTATAGTCAATAAATTTAAGTGAAACTATTTGTTTATAAATTGAACATAAAATATAATTTGTAAGAACTTGTAGAAACTTAAGTGGATTGAGCATTGAATTTTTTTCTTTTTATTCAATAATGGTTTTTTACTATGTGTTTCTATTGTAAAATGTATACTTTTAAAATCAACTATGCAGTAGGTTGTTGATTATTTTTTTGATATTTATTAATTATATAGTAAAAACATAAATCTTTTTTCTATCTCATAATTGTAAAAATGATTTAATTTTGTAATTTTGAAGTGTAATAAATTTCCATTTGATTAAAATCTTTGCTATTATTTAAATTTATCAGCGTATAATCCTGCAGAATTACTTTTCACGGCATAATGCTAAATTATGTGCAATTTAAATTCAATAAACTAAGCGAAAACTTCTAATTATTCCGTAATTGTTTCTCAAATAGGTGCATGGTAAACAAACAATTAAAATTTATACGCAAAGGAAAAAATATTCGTGTGGAATAAAAATTTCGAAAAAAAAACTCTAAAATGTAAGAAAAAGCGTTTCCATTAAGTGCAATGATGCGTCGTGACTGCATTTAATCGTCACGCGTTGCCTAATCGAGCACGGCTTAGAGTCCATATACCCACGTTCGTAAAAATGTAAATTCGTTCTAGGAAATATATTAAGCTGGCCCACCGGAAACGTTTCTCACAACGCGAACGGGCCTCTGTATAAATTATAAATGTCTGTAATGAAATGTACGTCGACGTGCCACGATAGCAATCAAGGTGCAATGAGTGTTTGGAGCATCGTTGTAAAGGTTGTACATTTCACGAGAGGTTGAACCTTTTTCTTCCCCTTCACTATTTGCAATGAGAAGACATGCGTAAAACAATTGGGTGCGGTACGTTTGGTGTAAAAATAAACGAACACAAATTTAGAAGAAAATATTATTTCCTTTTGAGTACTGCGAAAACAGGGTACTACACATAGTGTTGAATAAGCCACAGACAAAAGGACAAAAACGGTTCAATTTTGAAATATCCAATCCGAGTATACCTTTTTTTATTATATACATATCATATTAATATATGTTTGTCACCGAGATAATAAAATATCGGCAACTAGGCCTTTGACTGGTTCCATTAATAATTTATTAATTTTGCTAAGTGACGCACGCGCATGTCAGGGCGAAACATAAGCATTGAACACCATTGTAATATTTTTTGCACTGTTCCAGCTTTTGTCCTTACGTATTAACATTGTACATTTCATTGTCCACATTATCGAAATACTATTTTCAAAACAGTTACTTGACGTTAAAATAATAAATTAAAACAATTCCCATGGGCAAATATGATTCGACCAAATAGCGTTATGGTACCTAAACATTTCTTGAAAATAATTATATTTCATCAATGTTTTTGTAACAAATATATTATAACGTGTTCAAATAATTTTAATTGTTATTCAAGTTACACTGCCCATAACACACAAGAATCATTTTCATTCGAATAGTTTTTTCAATCCATGTACAGTGAAAAAGAATTGATTTTACAATGTTTATGTGCTTTTTCGGTGATCAAACTTTAAATTTGCACCCGAAAGGGCTTTCTCGCAGTTGTACTTTTGCCGAGAAAAAATAAATGGACAAAGTATACGTTACTCGATCATACCACTACGCTCAGCTTTAACTACAAATACTTCCGTGTAAGCCTTAGCCTTAAATTTAACATTATATAAATATTTTATCGAAATTCATTTGCTATTTAAGCTGCTTGAAGAGCAATTAATTAACCAAAGAAGTTTTTTTAATTTTACGTGTGTGTACTTAGGATTACAAAACAAACAACGGCTGTTGTATTTAAACACTGTAAAGTTTCGTTCGAAAAAAAATGTCTACAAAATAAAATGAAAAAACAAATATTATAAAGTATCCAAATGTACTATTTTAAACTACACAGAAACTCAAATCGATACCTACGCTCAGGATTGTATGAAACAGACTACTCGAGTATGTGACATTGGAAATGGCAGCAGATTAAATTTAAACTTTAAATGTTTGATATAGTATACATTGTACACGAACTGGAAAAAAAAAATGAAAGTAAAAAAAAGTTTCTCGTTCCATTTCAACGGTGCATATAGTTTATTATTTTTTACCGAGAAAAAAGTTTTGTTTTTTTTTCCTTTTCACATTTTCTATTTTCATTTACATTGGATCGCCACTCTTTGGATGTTGAATATATTGAAAAACTGACTTCATCATAAAACTTAGATATGATAAAAAACTTTATCGAAAACTTTGGTTTACGTGTCTATATACATCAAACTCCATGCATATTTCGACTCTTCAAATCTTGGCGTGTCGCTCGATAGTCGCGTTATAAAATGTATTCAAAATAAATTACTTCAATGTTGAATTATTTGAACGGAATCTAAATATTCATATGTTATATATATATATATATATATATATATATATTTATATTATACGTGTTTTGGTTTTATATATTTTATTGAGTTTACTGTGAAAATCATAATTATTCTCTTCAAGGGCGGAGTGGGAAGTTTATTCAGGCCGGGAAAATAATTTCATCCAGGCCACTCAACATTTTCATTTCTGGAATAGAAAATGTATTTCATCAATTTATGTAGTATATT